ATAATGATGAAACTAAAACTCTGAATGGTTCAGACTAAACTGGAAAACTGATCTGAAATTGGCTCAAAATTCGGTTCAGTTCAGTTCAGGTATTAGAACCGAAAAACTGGCAGTTCAGTTTGGTTTAATCTGATTTTTTATAAAAATGCGAAAAATCAAATAGCCATCCATCTAGTAATCGTACAAAGTTGAGCCATATATCATTGGATTCATCTTGACGAGACACATCAAATGGCGGTAAGATCATGTCTTTAGCATCGATAGATCACAAATTAACCCGTGCTAAATGATTTATAAATAATTGGAATTAGCAAGCTATCTATCAGTGTTAGAGACATGCAGTGTTCAGACCCGTAAACTGTTAATATCAGATAGAAATGGATATCCATTATTATCGGGTATTTAGGTTAACGGTTATAATCTGGATATAAAATCGACTAACGGATTTAACCGGTTGGATCTGATAAATGGTATCGGATACTTGTTGATCTGGATTCATAACGGATTAACAGATTAATCATAATCCGTTATTTGTTTCATTATAAAATCATTACGCAGCAGTTTTTTTTGATTCATTTACTTTATTACTTATAGTTTATTCAATTCTTTTTTACAAAATAAAACCAAACGATCTTTTTTATTTATTATTAAAAAACTAAATATTTTCTCAATTTAATTATTTAGAAATAAAAAATGTAAAAAATTAAAATGAACTTTTGTATTTTTTTTATAAAAAATCAAACCGAAATCTATTTTTGTCCAAAAAATTGTACTTTATTGCTTCTAGGTGCGATTTTGGATTTGGACTTTGGAATAAGACATAAGGTATAGGATTAAAATTAGAAAGAAAATATCAAGAAAGTAATATGTTAATTTTTAACCAACCTTTCTTAATTTCTTTTCGTTTTTTTAATTTCTTGTCATATCTTTCTGGATACCTAGAACTCGGATTTCGGTTACTGGATTTGATCATTTGGAAAAAGGTGCGTGTTTTGAAACTTTGGAATAGGAGTTGAGATTTTAGAGAACATTAGTAAAACTTTAACTAATTTTACTTCTAATTTTTTTTTCCTTATAGGTATCTTTCTGGACGTCTTGATGTAGGATTTGGTCTTTGACTTCAGAATAGAAGGTAGATTTGAGAGTTAGGAGGTAGGAAACATTGGTAAGGTTTTTACTAATACTTCTTTTATTTTTAGTTATGGGTATTTACTTAAACATTTTGGATCTTAAAAATTGGGACGAAAAGTCTGATGGATTAAGAATTGAGAATTTTTTCTTTTTTTTAGAAAGTAGAAAATAAAATGCTTTGCTGAAACTTGGAGTTTACAATCGATATTGATTAGATATCGCAATGATATCATTACGATATCATTACGATATTTTGATAAAAAATAGATTCGACGTCGTTAAGTTAGTCGTAACTGTATTTAATCGACATTGATTAGTTCGATATCTCTGCGATATCGCTACGATCATTATGCGATGTAAATATTATCATGTAACCACATCGTAGTGATGTCGTATTAACATTGAATTAATATTACAATTTTATTTGATATCGTAACTACATCATAATAATATCATATTAATATCTAATTAATATTACAAAAAATGTTTTACATTTATTTAATATCGTAACTACATCGTAATGATATTATATTAACACCGAATTAACATCACAAAAATATTTTTATTGTAATATATGTTTATTATTTATTATACATTAATAATAATAATTTTTTATTAGTGGATTATTATGGGT